TCCTTCCCCACCTCCATCAATGAGCCTTCCCTCACCTCCATCAATGAGCCTTCTCTCCCCACCCTCCATCAATGAGCCTTCCCTCCCCACCTCCATCAATGAGCCTTCCCTCCCCCACCTGGGCTGCTTGGAGCACAGATAGTATTTTTTTTAATCATAATTTTCTTTTTATTACACTGATATACTTGTCGCTCATAATTGCGGTTTATGTCATTATATTGTAGACATTCATTTATTGCGATTTTATAAAAATATACTTTGTCAGCGATCACATTTATTTTATTTATTACAGTTTTTTTTCTTGTTATTATAAAAAAAAAAACAAAAAATCACATTGTTAGGTTTTGGGTTTTTTTTTTTTACATTCATTCAATGCGATTAAATAAAATAAAATAATGCTCCTCGCTGATCACTGGAAAATATATTTCTGTATATAAAGAATATGATATTTTAGATGGTAGGTGCAGCACAAACAGTTTTCTGTGACATTGATTGAGGATTATGTCCCTGTATTGCAGACGTTCACTTCTTGTGATCACATCATATATAATGCTCCTCGCTGATCATACAAACGTTTTCCTGAATATTGAGCCGTCAGTGAAGTGATTGGTTGTCTCGGCGGAGATCTCCGAAGGTCAATGTTCTCTCTGCTGCTGATCAGGGGAAAACTCTAATTGTGAAACCTAATGAAGCCCCGAGGCCTGAGGGACCCTCCTGACCGCTGACTGTTTACTAAGCGTGGGATCCCCAGGGACCGCCCCCGAGGAGTCCCAGAATAATGCAGAGCCTCTGATCAGACAATTAATGATGCAGAGCTGTGATCGGGGACGGAGCGATGTCCAGAGGAAACAGCGGCCTCCCCGCAGCCTTCATTACACCGACTGAGACTGGAGAGGGATGTCCAGCTTGTTAGGATAATTGTGACGATCCTCGGGGGAGGGCAGGCAGAGCAACGATGGCAGTTTGTAATGATAATGAGACCATTATGTCCTGCAAGAGACCACCAATTATTCTGAGTAAAGAAGACAGTTAGTGGGGGGCTGAGGAGCCAACATTCTGCATTTCTGCTTTGAATTCCATTTTAGGAATAGTGCCCCATCATTGGTGTCAGTGGGAGGAATAGTGCCCCATCATTGGTGTCAGTGGGAGGAATAGTGCCCCATCATTGGTGTCAGTGGGAGGAATAGTGCCCCATCATGGTGTCAGTGGGAGGAATAGTGCCCCATCATTGGTGTCAGTGGGAGGAATAGTGCCCCATCATTGGTGTCAGTGGGAGGAATAGTGCCCCATCATTGGTGTCAGTGGGAGGAATAGCGCCCCGTCATTGGTGTCAGTGGGAGGAATAGCGCCCCATCATTGGTGTCAGTGGGAGGAATAGTGCCCCATCATTGGTGTCAATGAAAGGAATAGTGCCCCATCATTGGTGTCAATGAAAGGAACAGTGCCCCATCATTGGTGTCAATGAAAGGAACAGTGCCCCATCATTGGTGTCAGTGGAGGAATAGTGCCCCATCATTGCTGTCAGTGGGAGGAATAGTGCCCCATCATTGGTGTCAGTGGGAGGAATAGTGCCCCATCATTGGTGTCAGTGACAGGAATAGTGCCCCATCATTGGTATCAGTGGGAGGAATAGTGCCCCATCATTGGTATCAGTGGGAGGAATAGTGCCCCATCATTGGTGTCAGTGGGAGGAATGGTGCCCCATCATTGGTGTCAGTGGAGGAATAGTGCCCCATCATTGGTGTCGGTGGGAGGAATAGTGCCCCAATCATTGGTGTCGGTGGGATGAATAGTGCCCCATCATTGGTGTCAGTGGGAGGAATAGTGCCCCATCATTGGTGTCAGTGGGAGGAATAGTGCCCCATCATTGGTGTCAGTGGGAGGAATAGTGCCCCATCATTGGTGTCAGTGGGAGGAATAGTGCCCCATCATTGGTGTCAGTGGGAGGAATAGTGCCCCATCATTGGTGTCAGTGGGAGGAATAGTGCCCCATCATTGGTGTCAGTGGGAGGAATAGTGCCCCATCATTGGTATCAGTGGAGGAATAGTGCCCCATCATTGGTGTCAGTGGAAGGAATAGTGCACCATTATTGGTGTCAGTGGGAGAATAGTGCCCATCATTGCTGTCAGTAGGAGGAATAGTGCCCCATCATTGGTGTCAGTGGGAGGAATAGTGCCCCATCATTGGTGTCAGTGGGAGGAATAGTGCCCCATCATTGGTGTCAGTGGGAGGAATAGTGCCCCATCATTGGTGTCAGTGGGAGGAATAGTGCCCCCATCATTGGTGTCAGAGTGGGAGGAATAGTGCCCCATCATTGCTGTCAGTGGAGGAACAGTGCCCCCATCATTGCTATCAGTGGAGGAATAGTGCCCCATCATTGGTGTCAGTGGAGGAATAGTGCCCCATCATTGGTGTCAGTGGGAGGAATAGTGCCCCATCATTGGTGTCAATGAAAGGAATAGTGCCCCATCATTGGTGTCAATGAAAGGAATAGTGCCCCATCATTGGTGTCAATGAAGGAACAGTGCCCCATCATTGGTGTCAGTGGGGGAATAGTGCCCCATCATTGCTGTCAGTGGGAGGAATAGTGCCCCATCATTGGTGTCAGTGGGAGGAATAGTGCCCCATCATTGGGTGTCAGTGGGAGGAATAGTGCCCCATCATTGGTGTCAGGGGAGAGGAATAGTGCCCCATCATTGGTGTCAGTGGGAGGAATAGTGCCCCATCATTGGTGTCAGTGAGAGGAATGGTGCCCCCATCATTGGTGTCAGTGAGAGGAATAGTGCACCATCATTGGTGTCAGTGGGGGAATAGTGCCCCATCATTGGTGTCAGTGGGAGGAATAGTGCCCCATCATTGGTGTCAGTGGGAGGAATAGTGCCCCATCATTGGTGTCAGTGGGAACAATAGTGTCCCATCATTGGTGTCAGTGGGAGGAATAGTGTCCCATCATTGGTGTCAGTGGCAGGAATAGTGCCCCATCATTGGTGTCAGTGGCAGGAATAGTGCCCCATCATTGGTGTCAGTGGCAGGAATAGTGCCCCATCATTGGTGTCAGTGGCAGGAATAGTGCCCCATCATTGGTGTCAGTGGCAGGAATGGTGCCCCATCCTTGGTGTCAGTGGGAGGAATGGTGCCCCATCCTTGGTGTCAGTGGGAGGAATGGTGTCCCATCATTGGTGTCAGTGGGAGGAATGGTGCCCCATCATTGGTGTCAGTGGGAGGAATAGTGCCCCATCATTGGTGTCAGTGGGAGGAATAGTGCCCCATCATTGGTGTCAGTGAGAGGAATGGTGCCCCATCATTGGTGTCAGTGGGAGGAATAGTGCCCCATCATTGGTGTCAGTGGGAGGAATAGTGCCCCATCATTGGTGTCAGTGGCAGGAATAGTGTCCCATCATTGGTGTCAGTGGGAGAATAGTTGTCAGGGCTCCCGGTATGACCAGAGGTGTGTGGACTGACACAGGGAAACGCAGGCTGCAGATATGGTATAACAATATAATTTATTAATACTAACAATACATAAACACAGTGCAAACAAACCAAACCAAACCACCCACAGATAACAGTACATACAATGCAAGAGTCATCAGGCAGGCAGGCCGGGTCAGTAGCAAACGGGCAAACGGAGTACCAGGAACAGGCGGGAGAGTGGTCGGGGTCACAAGCTGGGTTCAGTAACTCACGGGCAGCGCGGTGCAGAGGGTCAGGCAGAGAATGGTCGGGGTCACAAGCCAGGGATCAAGCAGGAGAAGTCAGCAGAGGTCAGGATCAGGCAGGGTCGGCAACAAGTCAGACAGGAACAGGATACAAGATACAGGGGCCCATGGAAAAACACACACCAAGGCCCTGACTGTGAGTCTGGTCATTCCTTAAATACAACCCCCATAATCAGCTTCAGGTGTTTGGCTGATTGCAGGGGTGAGTCTCTGATTGCTGAGAGCACCCGCTGGCCAGCCCTGGTACTGCAGCCCACAAGGCAGGTGAGTCCCACCATTACTGGCAAGTCCATTCCTGACAGTACCCCCCCCCCCCTCAAGGAGCAGCCTCAGGACGCTCCAAACAGTCCTAGCTGGGCAAAATGTTCCACCGCCCGGGTCTGGTAACTGGCGGGATATCAAAGACTGGCACATCGGGCTGGGCACCGGACAGAGGCACATCGGGCTGGGCACCGGACAGAGGCACATCGGGCTGGGCACCGGACAGAGGCACATCGGGCTGGGCACCGGACAGAGGCACATCGGGCTGGGCACCGGACAGAGGCACATCGGGCTGGGCACCGGACAGAGGCACATCGGGCTGGGCACCGGACAGAGGCACATCGGGCTGGGCACCGGACAGAGGCACATCGGGCTGGGCACCGGACAGAGGCACATCGGGCTGGGCACCGGACAGAGGCACATCGGGCTGGGCACCGGACAGAGGCACATCGGGCTGGGCACCGGACAGAGACACATCGGGCTGGGCACCGGACAGAGGCACATCGGGCTGGGCACCGGACAGAGGCACATCGGGCTGGGCACCGGACAGAGGCACATCGGGCTGGGCACCGGACAGAGGCACATCGGGCTGGGCACCGGACAGAGGCACATCGGGCTGGGCACCGGACAGAGGCACATCGGGCTGGGCACCGGACAGAGGCACATCGGGCTGGGCACCGGACAGAGGCACATCGGGCTGGGCACCGGACAGAGGCACATCGGGCTGGGCACCGGACAGAGGCACATCGGGCTGGGCACCGGACAGAGGCACATCGGGCTGGGCACCGGACAGAGGCACATCGGGCTGGGCACCGGACAGAGGCACATCGGGGCTGGGCACCGGATCACCAGGCGGAGCAGCGGGCACCAGACCACCAGGCGGAGCAGCAGGCACCGGGCCACCAGGCGGGGCAGAAGGCACCGGGCCACCAGGCGGGCAGAAGGCACCGGGCCACCAGGCGGGGCAGAAGGCACCGGGCCTCCAAGCGGAGCGGCAGGCACCGGGCCCCCAGGCAGAGCAGCAGGCACCGGGCCCCCAGGCAGGGTGGCAGGCACCAGGCCCCCAGGGCAGGGCGGCAGGCACCGGGCCCTCAGGCGGAGCGGCAGGCACCGAGTCATCTAGCAAGACTGCGGCCATCGGGTCATCAATCTCGACAGCGGGCACCGAGTCATCTGGCAAGACTGCGGCCATCGGGTCATCAATCTCGACAGCGGCGCCGAGTCATCTGGCAAGACTGCGGGCGCCGGGTCATCTGGCAAGACTGCGGGCGCCGAGTCATCTGGCAAGACTGCGGGCGCCGAGTCATCTGGCAAAACAGCGGGCATCGGGTCATCAAGCTTGACAGCGGGCACCGAGTCATTTGGCATGACTGCGGGCACCGAGTCATCTGGCAAGACTGTGGGCACCGAGTCATCTGGCAAGACTGCGGGCACCGAGTCATCTGGCATTGGATCGTCTGGCTCGACAGCGGGCATCGGGTCACCAGTCATCAGGTCATCTGGCTCGACAGCTGGCACCGGGTCATCAGGCACGACAGCGGGCATCGGGTCACCAGGCATGACAGCAGGCACTGGGTCATCAGGCATTGGATCGTCTGGCACGACAGCGGGCATCGGGTCACCAGGCATCAGGTCAACTGGCTCGACAGCAGGCACCGAGTCATCTGGTAAAACAGTGGGCACCGAGTCATCAGGCACGACAGCGGGCATCGGGTCACCAGGCATCAGGTCATCTGGCTCGACAGCGGGCATCGGGTCATCTGGCACGACAGCGGGCATCGGGTCACCAGGCATGACAGCGGGCACTGGGTCATCAGGCATTGGATCGTCTGGCTCAACAGCGGGCATCGGGTCACCAGGCATCAGGTCAACTGGCTTGACAGCAGGCACCGAGTCATCTGGTAAGACAGTGGGCACCGAGTCATCAGGCACGACAGCGGGCATCGGGTCACCAGGCATCAGGTCACCTGGCTCGACAGCGGGCATCGGGTCATCTGGCACGACAGCGGGCATCGGGTCACCAGGCATCAGGTCATCTGGCATCGGGTCATCAGGCTCGACAGCGGACATCGGGTCACCAGGCATCAGGTCAACTGGCTCAACAGCAGGCACCGAGTCATCTGGCAAGGCAGTGGGCACCTAGTCACCAGGCACGACAGTGGGCTCTGAGTCAACTGGCAGGATGGTATTGGTTGGAAAAAAATTTCGCTTTTTTCTGGTTTTAGTTACTGGAGCACTGTAAGTAAACGCAGGTCTGTAAATGAATGGAGCAGCTGAAGACAGAGAAGAGCTGGAGGATGGAACAGAGGAGGGAGCAGTTGCTACAGAGGACTTCTTTACAGGGTTAAAGAATGGATAGGTGCAGCGAGTGGGAGCAGAGGACTGGTATGTGGTAGTTAGCAGAGTATACTGGGCCATCACTGGGGGTGCTGTCGGGGATGCAGGAAGAGTGCCTTGAGCAGAGGAATGATGTTGCAAGCTGACTGAGGCTGGGTGCAACAAATCTGTCCATGTCTGCAGTACGGGTTTAACAAAACTCAGCTTACACAAAGCCTGTCTGACCAATGACTGCACTGCGTTTATGCAATCCATAAGCACATGTGATGGACAAGCTGCATAATGCTCATGGAAGCAATCTGGATCATCCTCCAACAACCATACCAGTGATTCCACTTGATCCACACTAAATGGGGGAAAAAAGTCATTCCTGCTTTCAGGGGTACAGGACCGAGCCAACTCAGCACAAACCTGGATCAATGGCTGCACCTCAGAAAACTCTGTGCCCTGATCTACTAGGCAATGAGCGAGCCGTATACATTCTAGCAGTTCATCCCGGGGATACTCCTTCAGAGTCTGATAAGCATACTCCCTGTCATCAAACACTAGCAGAGATAAATACACAACCTCATCCAGATCCATCCTTCCCATCAACAAGCCAAGATGGCTTCCCTGTGCAGCCACTTCTGGTCAGGATTGGCCTTGGTGTAATGTCAGGGCTCCGAGTATGACCAGAGGTGTGTGGACTGACACAGGGAAACGCAGGCTTCACATATGGTATTGTCAGGAATGGACTCAGCACTGGTGGTGGGACTCACCTGCTGTGTGGGCTGCAGTACCAGGGCTAACCAGCGGGTGCTCTCAGCAGCCAGAAGCTCACTCCTGTAGTCAGCCAACACCTGGGGCTGATTGCAGGAGGTGTATTTAAGGAATGGCCAGGCCTGTGATCTGGGCCTTGGTGTTTGTTTCCCATGAGCCCCTGTACCTGGTATCCTGTGTTCCTGTTCTGCTACTATCTGATTTGTTGCCGACCCTGCCTGATCCTGACCTCTGCTGACTTCTCCTGCTTGATCCCTGGCTTGCCTGACCATCCTTCTGCCTGATCCTCTGTACCGCGCTGCCCGTGAGTTACTGAACCCGGCTTGTGACCCTGACTATTCTCTGCCTGCTCCTCCGGTACCTCGCTGCCCGCACATTGCTGACCTGGCCTGCCTGACTACGCCTGACGCTACTCAGACGATCCATCCATCCATCCCGCACGGATCAGTCCCTGTTACCAGGTCTGCCAGCCTCTTCACGTCAGGCTTTCCCACAGTACATACCCTCGGCGGACCCCTCTACCACAGTTGGGTGCACTCAGGGGCCGCGACCTGGTCTCAGTCCTGCGCCAAGTCCATCCCCACCATCAGGGGCTCTGGTGAAAAGGCAGACTGGGGCTTAGACTCCGCGCCCTGGGGAATCCCGTTCTGTGGGTGTAACGGAACCGGTACCCGACCGCACTTGGGTATATTCCGTTATCCCGCAGCTTCCCCTGTCCGAACACCATCCACGGACCCCACCCTGAAATCCCTCAGGAAATAGACAGAAAGCCAACTCTTCTTAATACAGGAAGCCAACAACTTTTATTGTACACAAACAACATGTTTTATACAGAGGGCGGGGAAAGACAACCAGGGACAGGAAACACATCATCAGCCCACCCTATCAGTGGGAAGGGCTACAATATAGGCAGGAAACACCTCATCACCCCTCCCCATCCCACCAAGACACAGAACAATGGGATGCAGCCATGCGGCAAAGGACATTGACCAACCCCCACACCAATACACAAATAGTACATCCCATAATAGTTGGCTGGACAGGAAGACACAGCACAATGGGGGGGAGCAAATGGCAAACAAACAATGGACAGCCATGTGGCCTAGACAAAGGAACACACATTATCCACAAGACTCAGACATTCCCATATACACCCTGTACCCCTTAAACAGGCACAGGGTGGGTTAAACATAATGATTTGGGGAGCTGATACAGAGGTCCCCCCACCCCCAAAAGTCACTCCCCTCACAGTGGGTACTAGAGATCCCGCCGGGCGGTGCCTGACAGTACCTAATGGCCTGCCTGACCATTCCACCTCTCCAGCCTGACTACGCCTGTGTTCCTGAAGCCTGCTACTTCCCTGTGTCAGTCCACACATTTCTGGTCACACCCGGATCCCTAACAGGTATAAACAATATCATTTATTAAGACTAACAATACAAAACGCAGTGCAAAACTAAACCTAAACACAGTGCAAACAAACCAAACCACCCACAGATAACAATACATACAATGCAAGAGTCGTCAGGCAGGCCGGGTCAGTAGCAAACGGGCAAACGGAGTACCAGGAACAGGCGGGAGAGTGGTCGGGGTCACAAGCTGGGTTCAGTAACTCACGGGCAGCGCGGTGCAGAGGGTCAGGCAGAGAATGGTCAGGGTCACAAGCCAGGGATCAAGCAGGAGAAGTCAGCAGAGGTCAGGATCAGGCAGGGTCGGCAACAAGTCAGACAGGAACAGGAACAAGATACAGGGGCCCATGGAAAAACACACACCAAGGCCCTGACTGTGAGTCTGGTCATTCCTTAAATACAACCCCCATAATCAGCTTCAGGTGTTTGGCTGATTGCAGGGGTGAGTCTCTGATTGCTGAGAGCACCCGCTGGCCAGCCCTGGTACTGCAGCCCACAAGGCAGGTGAGTCCCACCATTATTGGCAAGTCCATTCCTGACAATAGTGCCCCATCATTGGTGTCAGTGAGAGGAATAGTGCCCCATCATTGGTGTCAGTGGGAGGAATAGTGCCCCATCATTGGTGTCAGTGGGAGGAATAGTGTCCCATCATTGGTGTCAGTGGGAGGAATAGTGCCCCATCATTGGTGTCAGTGGGAGGAATAGTGCCCCATCATTGGTTTCAGTTGGAGGAATAGTGCCCCATCATTGGTGTCAGTGGGAGGAATAGTGCCCCATCATTGGTTTCAGTTGGAGGAATGGTGCCCCATCGTTGGTGTCAGTGGGAGAATAGTGCCCCATCATTGGTATCTGTGAGAGGAATGGGCTCCTCATCTTTGGTGTCATTGGCAGGAATATCGCCCAGGGGCCAGATAAAAGCAAGCAAAGGGCCACATTTTGGCCAGTAGGATGCATTTTGAAGACCCATCATGAAGTGTAGGTCAGTAATGCAGAGGACCCTTTTCTGATATCTCCCTATAACCCCCCCCCCCCCACCGGTGCCCCGTACTCCATAGATGGGAAGTATACCCTGGTGGCTTCCATCATGAGGTCAGCTTCTAGAGTGATGCAGATCAGTGGTCTCCTTGGGATGAACTGGACCCTGGACCTGGACTAGGTGGGCATTCACCATCCAGTCAGGGTCTGGCCTGCTGGCTCTCAAATCCCACGGGTCGGTATTCCGGTGTAATAATAATTTGTCTAAGCTCAATGTAGGAGATCATTACATTATATCGCTACTGCGGGAGGCTGTCCTCTCCTGTCTGGGGACCGCCATGAGTGACGGCAAATTATCGTTCTGCCTATCTCTTCAGGAATTACTTATAAAGTATTATTAAATCCTCACGAGTGGCCTCCACTCTCGCATCCATATCACCGGCCTTCGCCTGAACGATCGTTAGAGGGAAGTCAACACGAGGCAGCTAGGACGGATGGACAGGTAGGTGTCTCCACCCTGGGGAGATGGGTCTCACTATGCTGACCGTGGTATGATCAGCGGAATGCCTTTATCCTCCACGATCGCTTTAATAAAAGAATTCATATCTGTTGCCTCAAATGGATCCACCTATTCCTCGATTCCTAGGGACTGTGGAGTGATGAGTCCAAAAACTGGAGGACGAACGTGGTCCCTAACTTCCAATTAAAATATAGAAAGCCGACCTATAGCTAGGTCGAAACGTCTCTCCCAAATGAGTCTGGAAGGTCCACCTTCTCAAAATGGTGTTAGTTGTATCTGGCTCTCTTTAAGTTTTGGATACAGTTTCTCCTCACAAACAAGCATGGAGAAAGTGAAGATGCAGTCCTTTGATTGGTCAATCCATGTTTGATCAATTGATCCGTCTACGGTGGATCAATCCTTCCTTCATTGGTCGATCTTCCTTCCATCGATAAGAAGGAAAGAAGGGTCTATCGATCGTGGAAGGGTCCAAAACCAGAGCTGTACAAAATCCATGGATGAAGGATGTCCTTACATCAATCAACCCTTTCAATAATCGATCCTTCCTTCAATTTAAAATGTTTTAAACCCTTTTCCTTTCGTTTGATCAAATTTTCCCTTAAAATTTTGATAAATTTCTATCCTTCCTTTGGTTGATCCTTCCTTAAACCCGGATAAAAGGGAATTGGGGGACCAGTCCGGACCCGACCAAAAACAAAAAGAAGGGCCCAAAAACCCAAAGCTGTATCACAACCCAAGGAAAAAGGATAAACCTTCGATCAATCAATCCCTTTTTTTTTTTGAACAAAACAATCAATCCCTTTTTTCGATCAATTGATTTCCCTTTTTTCAATTGATTGAATTTTATT